TAAAAGAGGAACATCTTTGATCGACTGCTCCCTGCAAACCCCCTACTAGAGACTGAGGCTGCAATCCTGGGCATGTGCCCTGACGAGGAATCGAACCAGCAACCTCTTGGTTCATGGGTTGATGCTCAACCACTGAGCCACACTGGCTGGGCATTACTGAGCCACACTTTCTAAGACTCAGAGCCGACTCCTGGGTTCTAGGAGCACAGCACTAAAGGAGAACATGTTTACTTAAGAGATAGACTTTAAATGATCACCATATATATAAAATAAGTAATTACAACCTGATGAGAGCTATGAATTCGATGAAGGAGGAACTAAGAGAAAAATAGGGAGCTAAAAATAAATTGGGTTTGTAGTCAGGAAAAACCTAAGTAAATGACACAAGGTATGATGTGAACTCTTTAAAAAAGAGATATTTTGTTACTCATTTCAGAGGTGAAAGGAGAGGGGAAGAGAGAGAACCATCAACAATGAGAGAGAATCACTGATCGGCTGCCTCCTGCACGCCCTGTACTGGGGATGGAGCCCGAAACTCCTGCACGTGCCCTGACTTGGAATTGAACCTGGGACCCTTCAGTCTGCAGGCCGGACTCTATCCAGTGAGCCAAACCAGATCGGGCTGACGTGAACTCTTAGGAACTCTCAAACGCCTTTGTAACTCATGCCTATGTATGTATGCATGCACTGCCTAGGTAAGGCATGGCATGATGAAGAGGGGTAGGGGAAGATGAACTAGAAACAAGCCAGCATGTGCAAAGGTCCTGAGGTGCTAGAAAATATTCCTTCCCATTTAGGAGAAGTGAAAGGTGCACAATAGGGATGGAATCGAGAGTGAAAGGAAACTAGGCCGGACCTAGGAAGCCTTGGTGAGGAATCTGATTTTTAACCTCCCTCTGCCCCTCAACAAGATAAACAGATATACAAGAAAGGCTTCCTCCAGAGGGATGGGTAAGAGGAAGAAGGAAGGCGACTGGGAATAGACTAGGTGGGAGGAGGAAATGGTGTCTATACCAAAAAACGGGTAGAGAGGGGCTGGGAAGGAGTCACAGACACCATTACGGTGAGTCCAGCTGAGCTCGCCCAACCGTGGGGGGTCGGGGTGGTGGAGGAGGGGAGAGTCTGGACCACAAGGCCGCCCCCTCCATCCTCCAGGGTCCTATGAGGTTGCCTTCCCTTACGCTGCGGAGAAAATGCGGGAGGCCATTGCGCAGCTTAAAGAAGGTAAAATGGACTCCAACTCCTTCTCCCAGGTACACACACAATTTTTTTTAAAAAACCCAGCCTTAAAGCGGCCATTCGCCTGATGGAGC